ACCTTCCAGCAGGACAATAACACTAAGCATACTGCTAAAGCAACACTTGAGTGGTTTAAGGGGAAACATTTAAATGTCTTGGAATGGCCTAGTCAAAGCCCAGACGTCAATCCAATTGAGAATCTATGGTATGACTTAAAGATTGCTGTACACCAGCGGAACCCATCCAACTTGAAGGAGCTGGAGCAGTTTTGCCTTGAAGAATGGGCAAAAATCCCATTGGCTAGATGTGCCAAGCTTATAGAGACAGTATACTATTCTACTTTATCTTAGTTCATGCCGCTCTGACATCGCTCGTCCATATATGTATAAATTCTTAATTCATTCCTTACTTAGATTTGTGTGTATTGGGTATATGTTGTGAAATTGTTAGATATTACTGCACTGTCGGAGCTAGAAGCACAAGCATTTTTCTACAGCTGCAATAACATCTGCTAAACACGTGTATGTGACCAATAAAATTTGATTTGATTTGTTGATTTTATGTGCATTCGAAATTTTGTGTACTTTTTGCCGCATTTGTTGATAACAAAATCTGAAAACACCCTGGATACATTCAGTAACATCATAAGAATGTTCTTGGGGTCTAACTTGGGTTTTAAAGTGGCCACACACCTCTCCAAAGTGTGCCCAGTTCCTAAGTAACTTCAATGCACTTTTCTGACTCAAAGAAGAGTCTTAAACTATAAGGTGCTTTTTTGAGCTCCCCTACCTGTGCCGTTGACGAACTAGAGCGAGCACACTTGTAGATGTTTTGTTTGGACCACAGCCCTGCATCCCCGCCTTTACACAATTATTGTTATTGTTTACACAATCCAAAAACTGTCCATTCTTAATCATAATCTGGGTCAGGTGGACATAATTTGAAAGCTTGTTCTAATGCCAACATGACTAGCTAAATTATTTTAAAAAATCACGTTACTTGTAACTTATTTTGTACATAATGTTTCTGCCACCGTCTCTTATGACCGAAAAGAGCTTCTGGATATCAGGACAGCATTTACTCACCTCGTACTGGACAAAAAATGTTTCTTTAATGAGTTGGAGGTGAAGGATTTACTTCAGACACCCGACAAGAACCAAATCCCCGTCATTCGCAGGAGAAAGAGACGGAGATATCGGGGATGTAGGTCGGGGTGCCTTGTAAGGATCCGACGGCGAGTGGGTAATCTGCATCTACCATCAGTCCTATTAGCCAACGTACAATCATTTGATAACAAAATAGACGAGCTACGATCACGAATATCCTACCAACGGGTCATTAAAAACTGTAATATCTTATGTTTCACAGAGTCGTGGCTGAACGACGACATGGATAACATACAGCTGGCGGGGTTTACGCTGCATCGGCAAGATAGAACAGCGGCCTCCGGTAAGACAAGGCGTGGCGGTCTGTGTATATTTGTAAACAACAGCTGGTGCACGAAATCTAATATTAAGGAAGTCTCGAGGTATCGCTCGCCTGAGCTAGAGTATCTCATGATAAGCTGTAGACCACACTATTTACCTAGAAAGTTTTAATCTATATATTTTGTAGCTGTCTATTTACCACCACAAACCGATGCTGGCACTAAGACCGCACTCAATGAGCTGTATAAGGCCATAAGCATACAGGAAAACGCTCATCCAGAGGCGGCACTCCTAGTGGCTGGGGACTTTAATGCAGGGAAACTTAAATCAGTTTTACCTCATTTCTACCTGCATGTTAAATGTTCAACCAGAGAAAAAAAAAACTAGACCACCTTTACTCTACACACAGAGACGAGTACAAAGCTCTCCCTCACCCTTCATTTGGCAAATCTGACCATAATTCTATCCTCCTGATTCCTGCTTACAAGCAAAAACTAAAGCAGGAAGCACCAGTGACTCAGTCAATAAAGAAGTGGTCAGATGACGCAGATGCTAAGCTACAGGACTGTTTTGCTAGCACAGACTGGAATATGTTCCGGGATCTTCCAATGGCATTGAGGAGTACACCACATCAGTCACTGGCTTCATCAATAAGTGCATCGATGACGTCGTCATCCACAGTGACCATACGTACATACCCCAACCAGAAGCCATGGATTACAAGCAACATCCACACTGAGATAAAGGGTAGAGCTGCCGCTTTCAAGGAGCGGGACTCTAACCAGGACTCTTATAAGAAATCCCGCAATGCCCTCCGACGAACCATCAAACATGCAAAGCGTCAATACAGGACTAAGATTGAATTGTACTACACCGGCTCCGATGCTCGTCGGATGTGGCAAGGCTTGCAAACTATCACAGACTACAAAGAGAAGCACAGACGCAAGCTGCCCAGTGACACGAGCCTACCAGACGAGCTAAACTACTTCTACACTCGCTTCGAGGCAAGCAACACTGAAGCATGCATGAGAGCATCAGCTGTTCTAGACGACTGTGTGATCACGCTCTCCGTAGCCAATGTGAGACCTTTAAACAGGTCAACATTCACAAGGCCGCATGGCCAGACGGATTACCAGGACGTGTACTCCGAGTATGCGCTGACCAACTTGCAAGTGTCTTCATTTTCAACCTGTCCCTGACTGATTCTGTAATACCAACATGTTTCAAGCAGACCACCATAGTCCCTGTGCCCAAGAACACTAAGGTAACCTGCCTAAATGACTACAGACCCGTAGCACTCACGTATGTAGCCATGAAGTGCTTTGAAAGGCTGGTCATGGCTCACATCAACACCATTATCCCAGAAACCCTAGACCCACTCCAATTTGCATACCGGCCCAACAGATCTACAGATAATGCCATCTCTACTGCACTCCACACTGCCCTTTCCCACCTGGACAAAAGGAACACCTACGTGAGAATGCTATTCATTGACTACAGCTCAACGTTCAACACCATAGTGCCCTCAAAACGCATCACTAAGCTAAGGACCCTGGGACTAAACACCTCCGTCTGCAACTAGATCCTGGACTTCCTGATGGGCCACCCCCAGGTGATTAGGGTAGGTAACAACACATCTGCCACGCTGATCCTCAACACGGGGGCCCCTCAGGGGTGCGTGCTCAGTCCCCTCCTGTACTCCTAGTTCACCCATGACTGCATGGCCAGGCACGACTCCAACACCATCATTAAGTTTGCCGACGACACAACAGTGGTAGGCCTGATCACCGCAGGTTAAGAGCTTCAAGTTCCTTGGTGTCCACATCACCAACAAACTATCATGGTCGAAACACACCAAGACAGTGTGAAGAGGGCACGACAAAGCCTATTCCCCCTCAGGAGACTGAAAAGATTTGGCATGGGTCCTCAGATCCTCAAAAAGTTATACAGCTGCACCATCGAGAGCATCCTGACTGGTTGCATCACTGCCTGGTATGGCAACTGCTTGGCCTCCGACCGCAAGGCACTACAGAGGGTAGTGCGTACGGCCCAGTACATCACTGGGGCCAAGCTTCCTGCCATCCAGGACCTCTATACCAGGCGGTGTCAGAGGAAGGCCCTAAAAATTGTCAAAGACTCCAGCCCCCCTAGTCATAGACTGTTCTCTCTGCTACCGCACGACAAGCGGTACCGGAGCGCCAAGTCTAGGTCCAAAAGGCTTCTTAACAGATTCTACCCCCAAGCCATAAGACTCCTAAACAGTTAATCAAATGGCTACCTGGACTATTACTTAACACTTCTTTTTCTTAAAACTGCATTGTTGGTTAAGGGCTTGTAAGTAAGCATTTCACTAAGGTCTACACCTGTTGTATTCGGCGCATATGACAAATAACATTTGATTTGATGTGAGTTTTACAATATGGAAATGTGAAGTGGATATTTGGACTCACAGGTGCTTGGCTTGCATGTATAACATCAAAGCGGTAATTATTATAATCATCACGTCCTCTTTCAAAATACATTGAGTCCTCGTAACTTACAGAATTTCCCTTACTCAGACAACAAAACATTTGCAAAAGTTGCCCAATTAGTGGGAGGGATGGGGGCAACTTCCTGTCATACTTGGTGCACAAGTTCCGAACGGCTGTCAGTCAAAACCCATACAGCGCTGTGAAGCGGAGACCCTGTGCTCTGACGTCATGTATAGCATGTTACTGTACAGCCACTGCGTTCCAATTTAGGCGCTTATCAGTGTCCAAATTTGTAATTTTCAACCCGTATAAGGGTACGAGTGGTTAAATACATTTAAATAAAAAGTATGAACGCATGACTAAGTCGATTTGGATAAAAGCGTCTGCTAAATGGCATATTATTATATTAGTGTTATTATAGTGTTGTTTAGAGCGCAGGTGAAATGAACCAACTAATTTAGGTCATCCCCTAACACCTTTAGTGAGGGTGTTGGTTCTAGAATACTGTTTATAATTATGATTACAATACAAATCCCAAGTTCACCAAGGTGAGCTTAGTTTCACTGGGGGCACAGCTGAAACGGAGAAATGCCTAACAAATACTAAGTAGGTGTGCAGAATCTCTCCACCTTCAAATACAAGTAAGAGGCTTTTGTTTATTAGATATAACACATATGACATCTAGTGGTCATATAGAGAATATATTTACATTTCTGAACAGAGGTATGCCTATATCTGGTTCAGTTGTGGACATAATCGAAAGACTCATTGTTGTCTATGAATACTTTCACACCACTTACATTTTACATTTTAGCACTTGGCAGCAAGATTATGTCAAAAGGGGAAAATGTTGGTGGAAAATGTCCAACTAAAACAGAACACAGTGGAACATTTTCACCAACGATACGACTGACGAGTCAATGGAATTTTCCCATTGATACAATTTGCATCATGGTGGTAGAATTTCCCAGGAGGATCTGTGTTGCTTCATTAGGTAGGGAGAGGAACACAGGATCTCTCTCTCGCAAAGAACCCAGTCAAGCATGGGAAACAGGGCATTCACACGCGAGTGCTATTTGCAGCATTCTTTGAAACGACTCATCCTTCCATCCTCTCAACCTGGTATCGAAAGACTTGACGCGCTCTAGTTACACTCCACATTAATCCACAGGTCACCCTCTAGATTGTACAGTATGCCAGCTTGTGTATGTATAGTGTGTGTGTACCACTGACCCTGAAGCTGTCAGGGGAGTCAAGGTGCAGCCTCTGTCTGATGTCCTCAGAGGCTCCGGCACACAGCCTGTAGAAGATGTGGTAGTTCCTCTCCTCTTTACTCTGCATGCAGATCCTTGACTTCTCCAGCAGGTAGTGGGACACGAAGCCACCTACCACTTTATTCTGTTACACACACACACAAATGTGGGCCAATGAAGCAACAATAAAATTGACCAAAAAACAGAAATTCCTTATTAGGCTGAAATTGCATTAGCCACAGAAAATGATGGCTAACCTTTTCATTAAAGTGGATTTCCACAAATTTCCCAAAACGACTGCTGTTGTTATTCCTGACTGTCTTGGCGTTTCCAAAGGCCTCAAGCAGGGGGTTTGCTGAAATGTACAGGCACAAAATAAGTATTGGGATCTCTTCAACTATGGATGGTCAAAGTACGATTTGGAAGTTATTGGTGAAGTTATTTGTTAAATCCTACCTTGAACAATTCTCTCATCAATATCTTGACCCGTTCCGTATGATGTTGTTAAATATCTATAGGATGAAAGTCAGATGAAGACTAACAATGATGCTACAGTATATGACGTTAATCTTTGGACTAGGGCTATTAACTCGAGTTAACGTTTTGTAATTTTAGTGGACAATTTTTTTTGTGTGTGATTAATCGCATTGTCTGAAATCGTTCAAAATACACTGAAAACACATCCAAAATGCATAATCTATACAGCTAAAAACAATGCAATGTCAAACCAAGTTGACATCGAGGTTAAAGAAAGTGTACTTTATCAATTTACCAGATTTTTCTAACGTCAATATTCTTGTAATACTTAAATTACAGCTCAATTTGAGCAAATCCAGAATTTGCGATGAATCGTGATTAGTTAGCAAATCCTGCGATTAACTCCATTATTTTTTTGAACATCGTTTGACAGCCCTACTTTGGAGATGAGTGATATTACAGAAAACATGGCTTATGCATTGACGACCAACGTCATTACACAACATCAGGGATCGACATACAGGGCTGCCCGCTGGCCCGGGGAGGTTTAGGAAACCCTCTGGGTCAGTCAATCATCCACGTCAGTGGCCTGCTTGTGCCAGTGATACAAATATTGTAATAATGCTATTTTCAATCTAGTCTACATAATAATTGATGTTATGTAGATTATTTATCACACAAGCACCCACACACATTGCCTATTTTGAGGGGAAAATCTGTCGGGCAAGAGCGCACAGCTCTCAACTGGTTGTCGTGTGGAGCATAAGGACAGCGGTAGGGTAGGTACTAGGAAACACTTCTCAACGTCTATTGACCAGTAAAAAAATGGTCTCCTGATGTGGTTTAAGCATTGATGTGGACTTGTTAGAAATCCTGAAAAAACTAGGAATCCTGGAAAAACAAAACAAGGAAAACTGAATTTAGCAAAAGATAAGAGATTATATTCAGCCCTACAACTATAGCCTGCTGACTGTTCAAAATCGCTAACAATAACAGCGTTTTGAGATTGATAAAATAAAACCTTTGCGCAATCAATGTAAATATGACATTGTCAAGTTAAAATGTAATTATTTGTGTCTGGAGGCTATAGGTTACTTGCTCAGCACGCAAATTAAATATAAAATCACCTGATATTGAATTACGCCTTTCCTGTTAGATTTTGTCCTGGGACAGTATTGTTTTTAGTTTTTCCATTCGGGCCAGTAGCTTTCAGCGGGCACTGGCAAGGTGTTTCACTGACAAATGTAACTGAATGTCAAGCCCTAAACATGGTAAGTTTGGTTAAAGGTAGAATCAACTAGATGAAGTTGCAATGAACAGCACTGCAGATATTGAGATGAGCGTGATGCAAGACTTCGCTCTCACACAGTCACACAGAGTTACTGTGCATACGCAAGGGTGCGCTTCACGCTGCTTCAACGTGATAGCTACAGGACCAAAACAGCTGAGATGTTTAGTCTCGCGCTACAACACTTAATTGTGGCGGAAATTGACCCATTGTTTTCTTCGTGCATGCAACGTCATCTCGCTCAGTCTATCTTTAATATTTTTAAGGTTGTCTGTAATAACTAACAAGATCATAGTAGTCAGTAGTCTTTTAGGCCAGACCTGAGGACAAACTTTGTGTTTTCTGTCTTCCCGGCCCCAGATTCTCCAGACACTATGATAGACTGGCTAATCTTCAGCACCCTCATGTCCCGGTAAGCCTTGTCCGCTGAAAGACAGAAAGACAAAAAAAGACATAATCAATCAAGTAATGGATCTGATGCTTTGACAACACTTTCACATAACATAGTCCTAGGCTTTATTCAAATGTATGTCAAATGTTGCCATTGCTTTACATTTAAAAACACTGCATTTATGACCAGTAACCAGGCAGTATAGCGGCCATTGATGTAATAGAGAGGTGCGCCCTCACCGATAGCGTAGACGTGAGGAGGTAGAGTGCCCAGGGACCGGCCCTGATAAGACTTGATGGTCTCTGGAGCGTACAGTTTGGGGATGTCATAGTAAGGGTTCACCGCAATCAAGATGTTGGCCACATAAGTCTGCGTAGCAAAAAGTCAAATTTTTAATCATCACGTGAGCTAGAGCACACGTGCCAAACTCATTCCATGGAGGGCCAAGTATCTGTGGGTTTTCCCTCCTCCCTTATACTTGATTGATAAATTAAGGTCACTAATTAGTAAAGAACTCCCCTCACCTGGTTGTCTATGGCTTAATTGAAAGGAAAAAACATAATCCTCGGCCCTCCATGTAATAAATTTGACACCCCAGAGCTAGAGCATCTGAATTTCACAACTAGGCGTATGACCACCAGATGTATCTTACAGGAAGAGAATGGTCTATCTTAAAGGCCTAGGATTAATCTACAATTGATTTGTAATGAGATGAGGACATCTTACATAAATCTTGTCTTTACTATACCGCACTCGGACGTTGTTTAAGAGTGTGCCTTCATTCAGGTACATAAGAGAACCTGAAAGAGAAAAAAACAGTCACTCATGAGAAAGCATCCTTTAAAGAGATTCTCCGGTACTTTTTAGCCAGTAGTTATGAAAGTAGCACTCACAAGCCAGAAGTGGTCCCCAAACATTGCTTAGTACGTCACATATGTGCAGATACTGTACGTACACCACGTCATTGCCCGCGCTCTCTCTGCTGTGTCCACTGAGCCGGTAGGCCTGCCCTGCAACCTCATTGGATAATGCTGGGCAGGCCTCTTGCTAGCTGTCACTCAAATGCGAGGGGCTGAAGCTCAGTGGCTAGAACTTGAAGTGCTAGTGGGCTGGCCCACGTGTGGGGAAACGTAGAGAAAATGGCACTGCACAGCTTCAAGAAAACAGTTGCTTTAAAACTAGGGAATTCGTGGCTAATTGAAGTAAAACAGTAATTCTGCTCGTAGATTATGCATGTATGAACTACACATTGACACCTCCAGCCCAAAGCGGGAGGTTTAATTTTTTTTTACCTTAGTCGCCAAAGTACCAGAGCATGTCTTTAAAAACATCTGCACATTAAGTTACATACACCAACATAAAGTCCATATCAGTCAAGCCAACTTGAGGATAGAAAAAAGTAGTGAGTGTGAACTTACAGTTGTCCTCCATATGTTTGTTGACATCCTCCTCAGCAGGGAACACTTGGTTCATAGAAGCCAGAAAGGTCTGCAACATCAAAAGCACTTCTGTTATAAACATTTACACCATATAAACATTATCATGAGAAGTCCTCCACCAGTAGTGGTATATTAAGAGCCAGACCATTTATTTGTCTCATAAGGGCCCGCTGAACATGTTCTACTTCAACTTAGGAAGGATACACACACACACACACAGTGCATTCGGAAAGTATTCAGACCCCTTCACTTTTTCCATTTTGTTACGTTACACAAGCCTTATTCTAAAATGGATTAAATGCCGTAGGTCACTCCCAAGTGCATTGCTTTCACTGAATGAGTCCAACCAAAGCCTGAGTGTATATAGCTAGCTAACAGCGTGGGTAGTTAGCTAACTCTTAAGCCTGGTTCACATTGGCAGTTTGAAGTGACTCAAATAAAAAACAATTACATATCTGATTCAAATCGTAATTTTCTTTTCAGTCTGCACAGCCAAAAAGCAAATGGAATCAGATATTTCAAGCCACCTTCGTAGGTGGTTTGAAATAAGATACAAATCTGATTCCTGGCCATGCGACTTGTCTGAACGGTCAAATCTGATTTATTTGTGACTAATATTTTGGCATATCTTGTTGCTTGCTAGCTACTCTGACAGTTTTGAAAAAAACATGTGGTAGCCAACTAGCTTGTTCATTGTTTACAAAAAAATTACTGAATCTGCTAGAAAGCTAAACAGTTGACTGCTGTGGCTAGCCAAAAAGGACTTGTTTTGAAATGTTGGATCATCTTATGCTATTAGGCTTTAAAAGTGTTCCTACACTATGATTTTGAACATTCAAAGAAACTGGGTAACGTCCATGGCAGGCATTGTTGTCACCTTAGGCTTGCTACATAACTTATGAGTGATAGGAAGCACGAGCACCACCACCAATCAGCCTACACTAAGTTGTTCAATCAATTCCCTGGGTCACTTCAAGTTTTCATGTGTATCTGATAGTCCCAAAATAATATCAAAAGGAAGTTTGTTCTGAAGTATCTCTCCTATATCTGAGAGATATAAGAAAGATCATGAAACATATACATACATATATATATACATACATACATACATACATACATATATATATATATATATACACATATATATATATATATATATATATATATATATATACACATATATGTATATTTAACACCATAATTTTGGCATTAAACATTCTCCATACATACAGTGCATTCGGAAAGTAGTCAGATGTTACGTTACAGCCTTATTCTAAAATTGATTAAGTCTACACAAAATACTCCATAATGACAAAGGAAAAACTGGTTTTAGAAAAAATCATATTTACATAATTATTCAGACCCTTTACTCAGTACTTTGTTGAAGGTACCCTTGGCACCTTTCTCCCTTTTCTCTGCAGATCCTCTCAAGTTCTGTCAGGTTGGATGGGGAGCATTGCTGCACAGCTATTTTCAGGTCTCTCCAGAGATGTTCGATCGGGTTCAAGTCCAGGCTCTGGCTGGGCCACTCAAGGACATTCAAAGACTTGTCCCGAAGCCACTCCTGCGTTGTCTTGGCTGTGTGCTTAGGATCGTTGTCCTGTTGGAAGGTGAACCTTCACCCCAGTCTGAGGTCCTGAGCAGGTTTTCATCATGGATCTCTCTCTAGCTCAATTCATATTTCCCTTGATCCTGACTAGACTCCCAGTCCCTGCCACTGAAAAACATCTCCACAGCATGATGCTGCCACCACCATGCTTCACCGTAGGGATGGTTTTGGCCAGGTGATGAGCGGTGCCTGGTTTCCTCCAGACGTGACGCTTGGCATTCAGGCCAAAGAGTTCAATCTTGGTTTCATCAGACCAGAGAATCTTGTTTATCGTGGTCTGAGAGTCCTTTAGGTGCCTTTTGGCAAACTCCAAGCGGGCTGTCAAGTGCCTTTTACTGAGGAGTGGCTTGCTTCTGGCCACTCTACCATAAAGGCCTGATTGGTGGAGTGCTGCAGAGATGGTTGTCCTTCTGGAAGGTTCTCCCATCTCCACAGAGGAACTCTGGAGCTTTGTCAGAGTGACCATCAGGTTCTTGGTCACCTCCCTGACCAAGGCCCTTCTCCCCCGATTGCTGTTTGGCCAGCTCTAGGAAGAGTCTTGGTGGTTCCAAACTTCTTCCATTTAAGAATGATGGAGGCCACTGTGTTCTTGGGGACCTTCAATGCTGCAGACATTTTTTGGTACTTAACCCCAGATCTGTGCCGACACAATCCTGCCTCAGTGCTCTACAGACAATTCCTTCAACCTCATGGCTTGGTTTTTGCTCTGACATGAACTGTCAACTGTGGGACCTTATATAGACAGGTGTGTGCCTTTCCAAATCATGTCCAATCAATTGAATTTACCACAGGTGGACTCCAATCAAGTTGTACAAACATCTCAAGGATGATCAACGGAAACCGGATGCACCTGAGCTCAATTTCGAGGCTCTTAGCAAAGGGTCTGAATACTTATGTAAATAAGGTATTTCTTTAAAAAAATGTTTTATCCATTTTAGGATAAGTCGCATGGCCAGGAATCAGATTTGTATCTTATTTCAAACCACCTACGAAGGTGGCTGGAAATATCTAATTCCATTTGCTTTTTGGCTGTTCAGACTGAAAAAATAATTAAGATTTGACTCAGATATGCAAATTTTTTTTATTTGACTCACTTCAAACTGCCAATGTTAACCAGGCTTAAGAGTTAGCTAACTACCCACGCTGTTAGCTAGCTATATACACTCAGGCTTTGGTTGGACTCATTCAGTGAAAGCAATGCACTGGGAAGTGACCTACGGCATTTAATCCATTTTTAGAATAAGGCTGTGTAACGTAACAAAATGTGGAAAAAGTGAAGGGGTATTCACCGCCCTTGGCATTATTCCTATTGTGTTGCCTTACAACCTGGAATTAAAATTGATTTTTGGGGGGTTTGTATCATTTGATTTACACAACATGCCTACCACTTTGAAGATGCAAAATATTTTTTCTTGTGAAACAAACAAGAAATAAGACAAAAAAACAGACAACTATTCCCCCAGCTGCAAGTCTCTTGGGGTTTCTCTCTATAAGCTTGGCACATCTAGCCACTGGGATTTTTGCCCATTCTTCAAGGCAAAACTGCTCCTTCAAGTTGGATGGGTTCCGCTGGTGTACAGCAATCTTTAAGTCATAACACAGATTCTCAATTAGATTGAGGTCTGGGCTTTGACTAGGCCATTCCAAGACATTTAAATGTTTCCCCTTAAACCACTCGAGTGTTGCTTTAGCAGTATGCTTAGGGTCATTGTCCTGCTGGAAGGTGAACCTCCGCCCCAGTCTCAAATCTCTGGAAGACTAAAACAGGTTTCCCTCAAGAATTCCCTGTATTTAGCGCCATCCGTAATTCCTTCAATTCTGACCAGTTTCCCAGTCCCTGCCGATGAAAAACATCCCCACAGCATGATGAGAGGTCTTGGGTTTGCGCCAGACATAGCGTTTTCCTTGATGGCCAAAAAGCTCAATTTTTGTCTCATCTGACCAGAGTACCTTCTTCCATATGTTTGGGGAGTCTCCCACATGCCTTTTGGCGAACACCAAACATGTTTGCTTATTTTTTTCTTTAAGCAATGGCTTTTTTTCTGGCCACTCTTCTGTAAAGCCCAGCTCTGTGGAGTGTACGGCTTAAAGTGGTCCTATGGACAGATACTCCAATCTCCGCACTGGAGCTTTGCAGCTCCTTCAGGGTTATCTTTGGTCTCTTTGTTGCCTCTCTGATTAATGCCCTCCTTGCCTGGTCTGTGAGTTTTGGTGGGCGGCCCTCTCTTGGCAGGTTTGTTGTGGTGCCATATTCTTTCCATTTTTTAATAATGGATTTAATGGTGCTCCGTGGGATGTTCAAAGTTTCTGATATTTTTTTAGAACCCAACCCTGATACTTCTCCACAACTTTGTCCCTGACCTGTCTGGAGAGCTCCTTGGTCTTCATGGTGCCGCTTGCTTGGTGGTGCCCCTTGCTTAGTGGTGTTGCAGACACTTCGGCCTTTCAGAACAGGTGTATATATACACTGAGATCATGTGACAGATCATGTGACACTTAGATTGCACACAGGTGGACTTTATTTAACTAATTATGTGCCTTCTGAAGGTAACTGGTTGCACCAGATCTTATTTAGGGGCTTCATAGCAAAGGGGTTGAATACATATGCACGCACCACTTTTCCGTTATTTATTTTTTTGAATTTTTTGAAACAAGTTATTTTTTTATTTCACTTCACCAATTTGGACTATTTTGTGTATGTCCATTACATGAAACCAAATAAAAATCCATTTAAATTACAGGTTGTAATGCAACAAAATAGGAAAAACGCCAAGGGGGATGAATACTTTTGAAAGACACTGTATATTTTTTATATTCCTTCATTGGCATAGCATTTACATACTAACACAAATTAATGTTTGAGTGGTTGTTGTCAAGTCTGATATTCACCCACTACTATACAGAGTCCGAGG